TCTCTCTCTCTCTCTCTCTCTCTCTCGGGTCTTCTTTCTACAATGATACAACATGCCTGCCTATATTTCTTCGTGTATATCTCGTATATATTTCTCCCATCTGGGGGGATTAACAGTTTAGATTTGTTTTACCGACAAATTCGTATGTCTACATACCGAATAAATATACCAATGAACATACGAAATGTGAAATGTGTAATGAAATCACGGTTTTAGACGGTTTTAGACGTTTTACTCGTCCAATATTCTATACTATATTTTGAATTCTCATTCCATACATCTACGTACGTACGTACGTACGTACGTTTGAATGTTGTGTACGCATTCTGTGCGTAATTTCATGCATTTCTGCGCTTCAAATTTCTTAGAAAAAATACGGCGTACAAGTGTTGACCGTTCGATCAGACAATCGAAATTTTTATGAATTTCTTTTATATCTATACAAACAAGTATTGTTTGGTTTGCTGAAACCTATTACCAATGCCTGAAAATATGTTCGTTCGTTCGTGTTGAAGAACACAGGTGTAGGTGGATAAAATTAATGAGATTCTACTTCTACTAAATCAATATTAATCTTTCGATATAATAAGTTTTAAATTTCTTTTCATACGGCGTGATGCTTCGTTTCCAACGAACGATCTAAATCTAAAGTTCGTCGTAGTTGATACACTCGAACTTGGCTAATTACCGATTCTGTACGAACAAACTAAATCCATCAGCCTGTGGTTGTTAAAGTTGTAAAGATCACTCTCAATTTTCAACGTGTTACACGTATATTCGGTAAAATTGAAGGACGCTAATTCAACTTATCATAATAATCGATGAACTCGATTAAAGTTGATAGTTACACGCACTTTTCACAATAGACGACAACACCGATACAACACTAAAGATTCAAACGATCGAGCACTCTCTCTCTCTCTCTCTCTCTCAAATGCTAATCCCTTGTAGGCCATTGAAAACAGCAAAACGTCATACACATGTCTGATGCGTAAGGAAGCAAGTAAGTACGTACATATTGTATCGTGCGTGTACGTAGGTATTTGCCAAGTCGTAAATTTGCCGAGTTTCCTAAATGTGCTCCTCCCTATCTTCGAAATCCCTATCATCGCGTGTAATCGATGTAATTCCGAACGTGTAAAAACTAGAAATTTTGAAAAAAAATCCGAGAAAAAAAAGTTTCGAAAAAGATACGGAGTACGCGGAAACACGGAGAATTTACGCATCTGCTTGTTTGTCTTTGTTATATATATAAGAGCACAATCTTGCTGCAAGAGTACGTTAGAACAGAACAGAATCGAATAGAAAATCAAAGCTCGGTATTCGAATTTGAACTTTAATAACTTGAAAACTTGTACAGATGAAAATTTTCTACAATTTCCCTCCGCGTCTCTATCGAATCTCTGCAATTCACGAATCACTTATCACTATCGTCACGTTATTTAGTAGGCTTTACTTTACCAACTCGAGTTTAAAACGACTTTAAAGTCCGAGTTTTGCAAGTCCAAGTTTACTTGCACGTACATTGCCTAGATCTACGTTGGTAAGTCGATCGATCCAATGGATCGATTCAATGGCTTCACGATCGTCAATTGTTTTCGTGACACTTTAATGACAACTAGTACAATATGGTAGAACGATATAACTGAAGGAACAAGAATCAGAACCGAACCGAATTTCAATTTCCTGACGTTTTTCATTTCGTTGTGCGGATAACAAACTTTAACGATTTTCTTTGGAAATTCGTTCGTCAGAATCGTTAGAACCGTGTAAAATTAACAGAGCTGTAATCAAAAATTCATTTCAGACACAAGTTTCTTCGTAGTTTTGCAAGTCGAAAAAGTCAAGGATCGACGTTGAGGAAAATCGGTCTCGTCCGTTTGGTCAACCTCCGGGTTGTTAATTCGACAAGATGGAATCTCGGCAACTCGACAACGAAGATTTCTTTCTCTTCCCTTGAAATTCGAGTTACCACTGGATAACTGGCTAATTTGCTTCATTCTCATTCTTTTAATTAGACTTTGTTAATTAAACGTGAAAAAAATTTCACATATCAATTTCAGTATCTCTCAAACGAAAGTCGTCGTACGTACGTATTTCGACGGAGCTACCAACCTACCTACCTATCTACCTACCTACCTACCTACCTACCTACCTACCTGCCTACCGTCTTTAACGTATCCTCCGCTTTAAACATCGCACACAGTATAACGCGCGCGTCGTACGACTTTAACGAGTGCGGTTACGAGAAAGAAACCGCGAAATTGTTAATCGGAAAAATTGAACATTTCCAATTCTCTTGAAAAAGCGACGACGTCCAAACAATGTCGTATTTTTATATATACGTATATATTTTATTGAAATTTCTCATTTCACCGATACTCGAAAATTAACGATTTTCCCTCTTACGTACGTTAAGATCATGAAAATGACGACGGTTGATGCTTCGAGTAGAAATTTTAATTCAAATTCGTCGTACGTAGCGGTCTAGCGAGACCAGGGACAGGGAAGAAATACTAAACGATACGATAATTAATCATGAAACGCAGTATTTCGAGGTTTGAATGCAAAATGGCTACGATCGATCCATCGCACTGCCGACGAAATGATTTTGTAA